CAGAGTGTTGTTCAGCATGGGGGTGAGTAGAAAATGAAGGCTAATCATGTTTTGGGTGTACTATTCCTTTAAGGGTAAATACAATTAAGAAATGTTTACTCATTTACTTATTTTTCAGTGCAGGCTGAGTTAAACGGAACTGCTCCAGCTGCTGCGCCTTAGTTAACCCAGGATCAGGTTCTGGTCCGGCGGTTCTGACCGTGTTCTCCTCTCTGTGTCCAGTATTTCTCCTACATGCAGCCCAGATGGATGTCTGAGGTCTTGGCTGCCGTCTCTCCTGTAGTTGGACTAGAAGACGGTACGATCAGGAAAACTTCTCCTTTTGGTTCTGATACACAATGCTGTCCAAGGTTCTGATCCCGCCCTCGTTTGACGGACAGCAGCAAAGATCTAAGGAAAAGTAGCTTCTGGTCTGAAACCAGGAAGCTTCCGGATAGTTGGGATTATTGGAAGAAAGGACTGGATCAGAACCTCTAAGCTGGGACAGTAATCAGATTATCATCACCTGATGCCTGCTGCTCTGACTAATGCAGCTGTTGTGTTTTGACAGACCTGATTGGTCAGCCCAGGCAGCGTGGGCGGGGCAGGAGAAGAAACGTGGTACCACCCTTTACAGAGGAGCCTCAGGGGAACGACTATGAGGTGAGAAACGATCAGGAGATTCTCTGATGTTCAAAGCTCAGACTGGAGAAGCTTCTGGAAGCAGCTGTTCACAGAACCTTAGATCCATGGGCTCACAGCGCTGTCGTCTCCGTTCCTTCAGGCTCTTCTGGCGTTCGAAGAACGACAAGGTGCCGTGGTGTCAAAGAAACTGACCCGCAGGGAAATCCAGAGGTTCCCGACCAAAACTTTCCGCTCTGCCACCAACTCAGGAGAGACCCAGTGAGTCCAGGTTCCTTTGTGGTCCGAACCGAACCGTGGAGCCCAGTTAACCCGCCTGTCTGACTCCTCCGCAGGTGTCAGATATGTTTCTGTGACTACGGCGACGGGGAGAAGCTGAGGATTCTGCCCTGCTTCCATTACTACCACGTCCACTGCATCGACAGGTGGTTGAAGGTACGAGCAGAGAAAACCTGGACCGACTCCTGGTCCTCCGGTACCACCGCCCTGCATCCCTGCCACACATATAACTTTAAACCAAATAAACACCCCATGGCTGCTGTGGAGGAAAATGGTTCGCCTTGGGTGGGTGAAGCCTGCAGGGCAGTGGGACCTAAGGACCAGGATGGAGAACCGCTGCCTGGCAGCATCAAGCTGTGTTCTAACTGTGATCCATCCAGATGGTTTGTTTTCCAGTTAAAATGTCCAAATGTGATCCATTAAAACTCCAGAATGTTCTCCTGGAAATGATGCTTCATTGGACGACTGACTTCCATCTGCTGGAGCCCGACGGCTTTTCATTGAACCGCCTCCGACACGTCAGACACTTAATCTGACTTGATTCTGGTTTGACCAACGGGCCTTATGGGTTCCGCTAATCAGCAGACCGTGCAGTCGAGCTCAGAGTAACTGTGGAGGAAACGGCTCCGTAGTTCATTGGTAGAAAGCAGGAAACTGCAGTAAAGTAAAAGGAAAATATTGGTCCCATCAATAAAACCAGGGAGCAGGATGACGGCTGGTTTTATTAAATAAAAAGAATAAAATGCTAGTTTTTTTTTTCCATCAAACACATTATTTCAGAAGATATATACGGTAGAGGATTAGGGCCAGTAAAAAAATAAAGTTAACTGATTTTTAAATTTTATTTCAGTTTAATATGGGAAAAAAAGTCTGAATTCTGAGATTAAAGTCCGAATTCTGACTTTTCTCCCATATTAAACTGAAATAATATCTAAAAATCAGTTATCCGCACACATCAAACCGACATTTGATGTGTGCGGTTTTAGAAGTCTAATCTGCCCTAAAGCCTGACTTATAAACTAGACCAGTGTTAAAGGAATAGTACACCCAAAGCATGATTAGCCTTCATTTTCTACTCACCCCCA